CCAAAGCCTAATGCTATCCTCTCCCTATTTTCCTTTCGACCGAACATTCCCACCCCTAAAACTGCCGATAGCTGGCCAACCATGCACCGACAACCACCATCGGTGGTCAGCTCTAAACCGAACCTATAAAACCAAACATGAGCTTCTTCCCAAGGGAGATCTAAGACTTCGATTTGGGGTTTGAAAAGCCTAAAGCCGAAAACCCAACTCCGACCAACACTCTCCCTCCGACGACGAACCGGCTAAGGGTAAGCTCTTTCTCTCTCTTTTTATTTTCGAATAAATAAATAAATACATGCAAGGCTGCTATTATTTGCTAAAAAAAAGGTAAAATACTTCTATATTGCTTCTAATTAATTTGGGGAATTCCAAAGAAAAACCCTTTTTACAGTGAAGTTGGGGATTTTTATAACCCCAAACAATGTTACATTTTTTTTCCTTGTTTGCTGTAGTTGTTGATTCGGTGGGGTTGATTGGTGTGGCGTGGAGTGTTGGAGATGGGGGCATGGGTCACAGTTGAGTTGGAGGTGGCAGGCATTAGGGTGTGTAAAATTATTCGACCCGGTTGACCCGATCCGTTGACTCGGATCTAAAAAAAACCGGGTAATTCTCTAAAAAAATTACTCGGCTGGGTCGGGTACCCGGCCCGACATTTTCCGGGTCGGACCCGGGTCACAAAATCTAGTTTTTCCGGGTACCCGGTTACCCGAGTACCCGGTTAGTTTTAATTTTTTTTTATTTTTTATATATAATTATATAAATATAATGAATTATTTATATTATGGATTATAATATTTTGTATTTTGAATTTTTAAATTTTATGTTCGGATATTAGAGTATGTAATTCGAAGTTTCGAACATTTAAATTTGTATATATATTTTTTTAAATTAATAATTTGAAAATAAAAAATTAAAAACCAGGTATCGGGTACCCGATTACCGGGTAGCGGGTACCCGCAAAATCCAGGTACCTGATTACCAGGTACCCGTAACATCCGGGTCGGGACACAGATAGAGAAATCGTTGACCCGAAAGTTCCGGGTACCGGAAATCGGGTACCCGAAAATCCGAGTACCCGGATTTGCACACCCCTAACAGGCATGCCTAGGGATAAAAAAATTGGTGATTACAAATACATACAGGAGTTTATTACTCATTCTAAAGTATCATTACTTATACATATCGGTGTGTTACTTGTTCTAGAGTCATTCCATTACATTACGGGAGTATACTTGATGTACAATATTAATAAATTTTAATTTTTTTTGTCAGACATTAACTATTATATATATGTTTCAAAATAAATATCTTTTTAATAATTTAAAGAGATTATGGTGATTATTACTCATTCTAAAGTCGTATCATTACTGATACATATCGGGTGTTACTTGTTCTAGAGTCATTCCATTACTTTACGGGAGTATACTTGATGTACAGTATTAATAAATTTTAATTTTTTTGTCAGACATTAACTATTATATATATGTTTCAAAATAAATATCTTTTTAATAATTTAAAGAGATTATGGTGATTATTACTCATTCTAAAGTCGTATCATTACTGATACATATCGGGGTGTTACTTGTTCTAGAGTCATTCCATTACTTTACGGGAGTATACTTGATGTACAGTATTAATAAATTTTAATTTTTTTGTCAGACATTAACTATTATATATGTTTCAAAATAAATATCTTTTTAATAATTTAAGGAGATTATGGTGATTATTACTCATTCTAAAGTCGTATCATTACTGATACATATCGGGGTGTTACTTGTTCTAGAGTCATTCCATTACTTTACGGGAGTATACTTGATGTACAGTATTAATACATTTTAATTTTTTTGTCAGACATTAACTATTATATATATGTTTCAAAATAAATATCTTTTTAATAATTTAAAGAGATTATGGTGATTATTACTCATTCTAAAGTCGTATCATTACTGATACATATCGGGGTGTTACTTGTTCTAGAGTCATTCCATTACTTTACGGGAGTATACTTGATGTACAGTATTAATAAATTTTAATTTTTTTTGTCAGACATTAACTAATATATATATGTTTCAAAATAAATATCTTTTTAATAATTTAAAGAGATTATGGTGATTATTACTCATTCTAAAGTCGTATCATTACTGATACATATCGGGGTGTTACTTGTTCTAGAGTCATTCCATTACTTTACGGGAGTATACTTGATGTACAGTATTAATAAATTTTAATTTTTTTGTCAGACATTAACTATTATATATATGTTTCAAAATAAATATCTTTTTAATAATTTAAGGAGATTATGGTGATTATTACTCATTCTAAAGTCGTATCATTACTGATACATATCGGGGTGTTACTTGTTCTAGAGTCATTCCATTACTTTACGGGAGTATACTTGATGTACAGTATTAATACATTTTAATTTTTTTGTCAGACATTAACTATTATATATATGTTTCAAAATAAATATCTTTTTAATAATTTAAAGAGATTATGGTGATTATTACTCATTCTAAAGTCGTATCATTACTGATACATATCGGGGTGTTACTTGTTCTAGAGTCATTCCATTACTTTACGGGAGTATACTTGATGTACAGTATTAATAAATTTTAATTTTTTTTGTCAGACATTAACTAATATATATGTTTCAAAATAAATATCTTTTTAATAATTTAAAGAGATTATGGTGATTATTACTCATTCTAAAGTCGTATCATTACTGATACATATCGGGGTGTTACTTGTTCTAGAGTCATTCCATTACTTTACGGGAGTATACTTGATGTACAGTATTAATAAATTTTAATTTTTTTGTCAGACATTAACTATTATATATGTTTCAAAATAAATATTTTTAATAATTTAAAGAGATTATGGTGATTATTACTCATTCTAAAGTCGTATCATTACTGATACATATCGGGGTGTTACTTGTTCTAGAGTCATTCCATTACTTTACGGGAGTATACTTGATGTACAGTATTAATAAATTTTAATTTTTTTGTCAGACATTAACTATTATATATATGTTTCAAAATAAATATCTTTTTAATAATTTAAGAGATTATGGTGATTATTACTCATTCTAAAGTCGTATCATTACTGATACATATCGGGGTGTTACTTGTTCTAGAGTCATTCCATTACTTTACGGGAGTATACTTGATGTACAGTATTAATAAATTTTAATTTTTTTGTCAGACATTAACTATTATATATATGTTTCAAAATAAATATCTTTTTAATAATTTAAAGAGATTATGGTGATTATTACTCATTCTAAAGTCGTATCATTACTGATACATATCGGGGTGTTACTTGTTCTAGAGTCATTCCATTACTTTATGGGAGTATACTTGATGTACAATATTAATAAATTTTAATTTTTTTGTCAGACATTAACTATTATATATATGTTTCAAAATAAATATCTTTTTAATAATTTAAAGAGATTATGGTGATTATTACTCATTCTAAAGTCGTATCATTACTGATACATATCGGGGTGTTACTTGTTCTAGAGTCATTCCATTACTTTACGGGAGTATACTTGATGTACAGTATTAATAAATTTTAATTTTTTTGTCAGACATTAACTATTATATATATGTTTCAAAATAAATATCTTTTAATAATTTAAAGAGATTATGGTGATTATTACTCATTCTAAAGTATCATTACTGATACATATCGGGGTGTTACTTGTTCTAGAGTCATTCCATTACTTTACGGGAGTATACTTGATGTACAGTATTAATAAATTTTAATTTTTTTGTCAGACATTAACTATTATATATATGTTTCAAAATAAATATCTTTTTAATAATTTAAAGAGATTATGGTGATTATTACTCATTCTAAAGTCCTATCATTACTGATACATATCGGGGTGTTACTTGTTCTAGAGTCATTCCATTACTTTACGGGAGTATACTTGATGTACAGTATTAATAAATTTTAATTTTTTTGTCAGACATTAACTATATATATATGTTTCAAAATAAATATCTTTTTAATAATTTAAAGAGATTATGGTGATTATTACTCATTCTAAAGTCGTATCATTACTGATACATATCGGGGTGTTACTTGTTCTAGAGTCATTCCATTACTTTACGGGAGTATACTTGATGTACAGTATTAATAAATTTTAATTTTTTTGTTAGACATTAACTATTATATATATGTTTCAAAATAAATATCTTTTTAATAATTTAAAGAGATTATGGTGATTATTACTCATTCTAAAGTCGTATCATTACTGATACATATCGGGGTGTTACTTGTTCTAGAGTCATTCCATTACTTTACGGGAGTATACTTGATGTACAGTATTAATAAATTTTAATTTTTTCTGTCAAACATTAACTTTTATATATACGTTTCAAAAGAAATATCTTTTTAATAATTTAAAGTGATTATGGTGATTATTACTCATTCTAAAGTCGTATCATTACTGATACATATCGGCGTGTTACTTGTTCTAGAGTCATTCCATTACATTACGTGAGTATACTTGATGTACAGTTTTAATAATTTTTAAATTTTTTTCAAACATTAACTTAATATATATTAAATTGGTTGCTTAAAAAGCATTTGTGAAATGTTAGAGAACTGAATTAAGATCAAAACATCCTTTGATGGAATTGATTTAATATCTTAATTATTTAGACATGATTACTTCAAATAAGAAAAAAAAAAGGCTTGAAAACATGATTGGCTCTAATGACTATGCCAGTACAGGCTCTTGAACACCACATACAATCTAAACAACTTCCCATTTAGGGAGGGGGGGACAAAAAGGAAAATACAGTAAACATGAAAGTTTCAGTGTCATTGTTTGAAAAAAAATACAGAAAAACCTGCCACAATGACACCACTGAACTAGAAAAAAAACACTGTAATCAAATCCTTAAAACCTATGATTATTCCATCCCATATATCTCTGAAGCCCTCATAATATGCAAGGAAACTTGAAAAAGTTGACAAGCTTAAGGCTAAAGCCATTGATTCTGAATCCCTGCAATTTCACATCCATTCCAATTGTCCCTAAACTCTTGACCCATCAAGACATTAATAGCACCCATTTCCAAGAAGTCATTCTCCAATGAAAACTCAGGCCAATTAAAGACTTCCTCTCCATCATCATCACCAAAACTTGATCCTTCAAACTCATTGGTGTTCTTTTCTCTCCTCACCATCCTCTCTTCACTACTTTGACATGAACTCCCACTAGAACCCGGTGATGACTGCACAACACAAACAAAGTTTAGCTGCTGATGATCAGCATCATCATGAGGCTGAGGCTGAGGCTGAGGCTGAGGCAGGTTTTGTTTAGCTGATGAACCATACAGTTTCCTAGCGGCTGCATCATAAGCCAGTGCAGCTTCAAAAGATGTATTGAAAGTGCCAAGCCAGAGCCTGCTGCCTCGGTTGGGTTCTCGGATCTCAGCCACCCATTTGCCCCAAGTCCTTTGCCTTACACCTCTATAGTTACACATGGCGTTCTCAGGACCACCTTTCCCTCTCATGCAACCTTTCCTTGATTTCCCCATGTATGGCCTCTCACCGACATTTGTTCTTCTGCCTTGAGCTTCCATTGTTGAATATCTCAACCCTCAAAGAGCAAAAAGCTACACTCATGTATTAGGGTTTTTAAATGGAACAAAAATAATCCATGGTGGCAGTTTCATTAGAGTCCAGTGAACTGGGTTTTGACACATGTAAAGGAGGTGCTTGGTTTTTGGCTTTACATGAGAACAGTGTCATGCTGACAAACAACACTTGTCCTCAAACTAGTGAACTCCTTCATCCTTAAGGACCTGATTAATATATTATTTTTTTAAGAGGAAAGAAAAAAAAATTCCATGAACATATATATGATGTGTTCTTCTGACACTGAAGATAATTAGGGCACATGTTATGATGAAGGAAAAGACACCTGTTAGCTTTAATATTATACTATAACAAAGGGTTTTGGTTTCTTCCAAGATTGAAGAGAGGGTAAAATATTAGGTCCCGGTCTTTGGGAACATTAATTTGTGGGACCTAATTTTGAAATCAGCATGATTTTCAGACTTGTATGTGATAATACAATACATGATTAACATGTAGATTGATGGATATGGTTGAAGCTTGAAGACAATTGCTGACCTCTTCAATGAACTGTGGGAGGCTAACAGGGCCATGCCTTTATCTGAGCCACTCCCATGTCCCTAAACAAATGAAGAAACTCTTTTATTTCTTCTCTTATGTTTTTGCCCCACGTAAATAATGTTAGTTTTTGGTTGTTTTTTTTTAGAAGTTTTGTTTAATTGTCTAAATTTTGTGATTAAATTTTTTATGTATGTTTTGAAAGATTTATCGAAAATTAACTTAAGATAATTTTTTTATACTTGGTTATTGATTTAATGAATACTTTTATACTCAAAGTTGTCTCGAATTAATAATATTATATCATCTGCACGAATCAAATATTATCAATGATAAAAGAATTAAAGACAACAGTCAAAGTCAAAGTTAAAGTCAAAGGTCGACATATCGAATCTTGGGTCATAGGTTAGATATCTTGGATCAGGTCACATGTCCTGGATCTCAATTTATGGATAGAGCTTCATATTACATGTCGATTCTTGGGTCATGCTCGAGCTTGCCTTGGATACTATGGGTTAGGCTTGCAGGAATTGAGCCTCGGTTTGGGATTTGGGCAGTAGTCCCAGAAAGATGTGGGTACATAATAGGCTTATTGAGCAGGCCATGGGTGAGGGTTTGTGACCAGAACATTGGCCAGAGTTTGCTTGAGGGCTCTCAAGCGATTAGGGATGGTCATAATATTTGAATTCAATAGGTTTTAATGTGATCCGATTTTATAGAGGCAAATTCTTATTTTAATTTCAGATCCGGAGCAGGCCAGGAAGGTTATATAATAATAAAGTTGGAGTCGGAATGAGATCGGATTTAAGATGAAAAACCACCCTCCTGACCTAATGTAAATAACAAAATTACTCTTTTACACATTATTTAAAGTTTTAAGCATTTTTCTTTTTATAGTGCTAAAATATGATTCTTTGATTATTAAAAATGTAATAAACTATTATAAAATATATTACTTTAATCATTTAAAATATAAAAAAATGATAAATACATTATTATAAAATATATTATTTTTTATTTTAAAATATTACTATATTCGAGTCAGATTGAGGTTAGAGTTTTAATCTAAAAATCGAAACGGATTCAGAAAGGGAGAAAATCTAATAATATTCTAGATGATACAAGATCAAATGAAAACAATATATTTTTGGGTCGAAATTAGAGTGATAAAAAAATCGGGCCATCCCTCCCATGCCCATCCCTATAAGCGACTGTATGACAACAATCTGACAGAAGCTCAGCTTGCATGATGAGTAGTTGCAGATAATAATGGAACGAAGGGAAGTAGGAAAAGACTCACTAAAAAAATAATGAAACAATGGTAGATGGGTTGAGGGGAACATATTAAGGTTTTTCCTAAAATAAAAGTAACGGATTGAAAAATATTTTTAAAGATGAATATATATATATATATTAAAAACGTAATTTTTTTTTTGAATAAAATGAACATAAATCTTATCATTACTTCTTAATATAAGTGCAAAGTTTTCTCCTCCCTCTTTCCGGTCTCCACTGGAGAACACACAAAACGAGTAAAGAGAACGTGTAATAATCAGGCTTAACATTCTGTCTCAAAATGTTTAAAAACATTGAAATCCCATGTACGAGGCAATCAGTCCTAGAGTACCTTTGATCATTGTGTTCCAAAGGAAACACTGTTTGGTTCAGAATTTGATCGAATTTGAGCTCATGGCTATTTTAAAAAAAATAAAACTTCAAGCTCGGAAGCGCTAATGTGTCGTCCGGAAATCAGACGATTGTGAAGAACACATACTTCACTCAAGCGCAGATGTCATCATTGCTTCAACGGTGTGCACCAGCCAAGAATCGAACTCAGGTCTGTATTGTGGCAGAGAACTACTCTACCACTAGACAACTTGTTCTTGTGGAACACCGTAGAATGTGAGATTCTCATGAGAATATAATCTACATTTTCATGTTTGGTTGGTCGGAAATCTCATTTTCGGTAATGTTTTATTACCAATAGTAGATTTTTTGGGGTATATTACCGGAAATGTCATTACCTCTCTTTCCTTAGATATTGTTAGAAAACTGGCGTTTTGAACTAAAATGCCTTTAATTTTTTTTTCTCAAAAATATCATTCTTCTGTCATTAAATAATAAAAATTTTACGAATGTTAAATTACAAATTTATCCTTAAACTATTTTATATTTACAAAAAAAGTCTATAATTAAAATTTTATATGAAGTTCAGATGTTAAAATAAAATTTTACCATTTCATTAAACTTTTTTATATTTTCAATTTTGTATATATATATATATATATATATATATAAATTTTATGAATTTAAAATTTTTAAAGAAAATGTATAAATATTTTTCAACTTGTTAAAAAAACAAATATATAATAAGGACAATTTGGTCAAATATACATTCCAATAATCTTTTATTCCTTTAACCAAACACGATAATCTTACATTCCTTCTAAACCAACCAAACACAAAATACAATATTCACAGTAATCTTATTGCCTAATAATCTTACATTCTCATTGGTAATCTTACATTCCGTGAACCAAATGCACCCTTAGTGTCAAGATGGCATAAATAGTACTTGCATAGCTAAAGATAGAAGTAAACAAAACTCAACTTAAAATTTTTATTTTTTTCACTCAACTCAAATAAAAAAAAATAATCGAGTTATAAAATAAAACTTGAATAACTCAAAATTTCTAGTAATTAGTGGATCGATTTTTAAGTTTGAGTTGAATTCCTTAACTTTGTATGATATATGTATATTACATATGAATATATATATATATATATATATATATATGTATTATAACGATTATAGAAATCCGTTTAAACTAAAATCAAATAATACCATAATATTTAGGTATATTTATGCCTATTTTATCAGTAAAGGATAAACTATACAAATAATCTCATTTATTTTCGGTTTGACCAAATTTAATCACTGATTTAAAATTTAAGTGGATTTAATTATTTAGGTTATCGATTTAATATATAATTATCCATCAAACATTAATATTCGTTACCCGATTAACAATGTGTCGTGGTAATTCAAAAAATTAAAAAAAATCACTTAAATAAGCCAGCTGTAATACACATGTCATTTCCAAGTTAATCTTTATAATCGTCACTTAATTGCCAGATTAAGTTAATTGAAAACTGAACTTGAATCTGAGAATGAAAAATCAGAGAAATGTAACTGACCGATTCAAGTTAAGTGAGTCGATCGACTGATTGTACACCCCTACTTCTTTAAATATGCTGAGAGTCTCGGAGAAAACAAAGTACTAGAAACCCACTTGGTAAAATAACTGACCGATTGATTACTTTCTTCAGTCTATGCGTTTGGAGACGAATCCAGACACGTCGAAGCCCCCTTTCCCGAACGACCAATGCAAGCATTGGCAATGGATCTTCCCTCCCATTTTTGTTCCACCACAAATCAAGCTCTCTTATCTTATTACATCCAGACTCAGATCAAGGAAACAACCTCTCCTCTCCTCCACTAAAATTCAAACAAATCCACTGTTTTTCACTTGCTTTTTCTTCGTTTTCCCCCTAAGCACTTCTGAAAACTCCCCCCCCCCAAATTGTTTACCCCTCTAGTTTTCAAGCAGTTGCAGAGGAAACAAAGCTTTATTAGAGAATATGGAAAACTCCATTATTATGAAATGCTGCAAACAATCGACCTACCTTGATCTGTCTTACTATTCATCTTACCGTCTCCATTTTCTTCACTTTTCTTAACAACTCAACAATGACCACTCTTTCACGAGGTCTCACAAGAACGTCGTACCAAGTAAAGAATCGTTAATGAGTATTTGGTCTCTCCTCTTAATTTTTAAAACCAAAGAATTTCTTATATGGGTTATTATTTGTCTAAACTGTAACAATCTCATCTGATTGTCCACGTCAACAAATAGGGACGCCACTATCTTCCATTCTTCTTTTATCTTTTCTTCTTCTACCTTTGCCTCTTCTCCCTCTTTGTAATAACCAAAAATTTAGATAATGACCAAAATGTAAATTTTGAAAGTTTAATGGTCAAAGTAGAAAATTTGGGAAAGATTTAAAGAATTAAGTTTATTTTTTCCAAAAAGAATATTATTCCATAAATGGATTTATTTAGTGAGCAAATTATAATTTGGTAAAGTTTGGTGACTAAAGTATAAACTTTGAAACGTTCAGGGCCCAAAATGTAATTTTGAAAAAAATTACAAATGGGTCACGAAAATAAGAAAATAAAAATATTATTTTCACATTTTTAAAATGTTGGAAAATAATATTTAATGGTTTAATTCCATGTTTAATTTGAACTGTTTGATTAAAGTGACTGAATTGTAATTTTTGGAAAATTATAAGGGTAAATCGATAAACCAAGATATAATTTGTTCATATTTGACTTATGGATGAAGATAAGGTTCAGGTGATATGATTTGGAAGATGATAAGGATAGAAATCTTGGTATTATGGTAATTATAAAGTTTCATTAAGGGTATATTGGTATTTTCTCAATTTAATGAATTTAATATTCATTAAATGATAATTAAAGGATGATAGGCATGAAAAATATCTGAAAATTCATGCCAAAGTGTTTATCATCTCTCCATGGACGTGAGCTCTACCAAGGTAAGGGAAAAATATTTGTTTTCCATTTTTGAGTCGATTCCTTAGGAATTCGGGTTATGCCGTGAAATAGGAAAATGATCTACGCGAAAAACGCTATCATTCGATACCATTATTTCTTTCAAATTTTGCTGGATTTCAAATATCCCAAATCTAAGGGTTTATGTTCATGATAGGATTCATGAAATTGATGATAAATCTTGATGATTTGGAGGTTGTAGATTCGATTTTAAGCTTGATTTGTGGTTAAAACATGTTAAATCTTTCTAGAGATTATTATGTAAAATTCGACCAAATTATAAGATGGATAACTTTGTGTTCTGATGAAAGTTGATTAGGGATTTGATTGTAGAGATGTTAAAAGGTGATTTAAAGTGATTTCATACTTGAATCGAATCAAAATCGAGCAAAATCATGAAAACGTAGTTTAAAGGATAAAGTATTCGATCATGATGTAACTAAGTGATAAAATGGTGAAGAACCATTTTATGTAATTGGAAAAGTAGATGTCATTGTTAAAAGGAATTATTAGGTGTTAAAGATTTGGTAGAAAATGAGTTCCATGTATATTATGGAATTGTTATGGGATATGTTTATATTAGTACAATACTAACATAAGTATTGTTATGAATTTGTGATTTTATACAGAATGTGAGTTAAGTGTTATTGAAGCAAATAAATTATAAAAGAGTTATTGTGGAGCGTAGTGAGGCATACATATTGTGGATTTTATAAAGTTTCAAGGTGAGTGCAATACATGCATGATATGGTACATAGATGTTTTATACATCGTGTACATAGATGTTTTATACATCATCTGGAAGACTTGCGATAAGTTGACCTTGTTTTATCAACATGAGATTTGATATGGAAGTTATTTTGGGTATGAACTGCCCTAATGTTTATACATGGTTATACGTTTCCATGGATGATTTAATTGATAACTATATGCCCAAATATGTTATTGAGGTTCAATGGTATTAATGGCATGCCATAGAGTCTAGCAGCTGCAGAATTAAGTAGTATTATAATGTCAAATAAGATGCATAGTACAAGTCAGGTGGGTAAAGCCCGACCTCAGCACTAGGTGCATTATTAGGTTAGCAATGCTCGACCTCAACACTTTTATGCAATATTTGACTCCTATACCGGGTTCCTCATAGATTGTGAATTCTGGGCAATAGTTGTGGATAAAAATGAATTTTATTATATTATGTTGTTTTGATTTTGACATGAAAATTTATGCATGAATTGTGTTGCACTGTTTATAGTTTTAATTGCCTCACTAAGTATATACTTAGCGTGTGATGATTTTCATGCGTAGGTAAAAAGCCAGTAGTGGAATAAAGAGTTCAAGTTAATATCAAGCATCGTGGAGTGTATATTAATATCAGTAAGACATCCTAAGATGTAATGTTGACTTTATTAGTAGCATGTAATTATTAATGTTCTATTTACTTTGTTGAACACATTTGGAAACAAAATGGCAATTTTTATGAATTATATGTATTTTCGGAAATCACTGTAGCAGTAATGTAGCAGTGCATCGATACACATTTTAATTTTGAAATTTTTGTGCATCGATACATTGTTCACGCTACTGTAGTAGTGCATTAGTACACTGTTCACTGTTCACGGTACTATTCATAAAAAATCTTTTGAATTAAATTTATTATAACGAAACACAATTCATATGATATGATATTTGTATAATATCATTTACCAATTTAAGAAAATAAGCTTTAAATCACTTTTGAATAGGAAATGGTTTTAAAATTCGAGTGACATCTATAATTTGTATAGGTATAATTATACTAGTTATGGGTATTACATTTATTGGCATTAGAGCTACATGTTTATCCGATTCTAGGACTAAACTGAGTTTGTTTTAAGTTAAAAAGTGTATACATGCCACTAGGATATCAAAAGTTACTGATAGTTGTATATATACTGTGATGATGCTTATTAGGAGTAAAGTTACTCTTTACTAAAGTACGATGATTTTGACTGTGTTCAGATGTCAGATCATCAAGAATCGAGTAGGGCAGGCGAGCATGTTACTTCTGTACAGAGTGGGAGTAATGAGGTAAACTAGAATCCACCCAATGCTCAGCCGAATGTAGAGTCGTCTAATCTGAATCAACAGGATATGCCTGTTCAAGATCGGGGTTGTTTTTACAAGCC